GTTCGTGTTGTACATTTATGTCACTGCATACATTAAATGCTATGTTGATAATGTGCCGATTTTTTTGTTGTGTGGAGTGGGCTGAGTCCCACTTTATATAGTTGCTGTCATTACATGGCTTGTGATAGATTTTGGAGCTGAAACTATTAGTGTTTCCTCTTATTGCTATGCTCATGTACATTTTGTGGCGATTGTTTAGGTTTTACGATTTTTTTTTAATTCTAGAACACTTTTGATTTTGTAATTGTTGTTTAGTGTTATTGTTTGACGAGAAAATCTAAAAATCGTGCAGGCTCATGATTATAACTGGCATAAGTTGAAAGTATAGGGCGGATGTTTGTTTTTTTATGAATTTTTGGAGCACCAAGCAAACAAGGGGGGACGTGCATTGGTTACTCTTGAGATGTTGTACATGTCTTCCGTTATATCATAGTTCTTTTTTAACTTGAAAAGTGGGTTATTCAGTTGTTTTCCATAACATCCATTAAGGTTTGTGGTTAGTTCTCTAAATCTGGTTGAATCATTTAAATGTTGTTCCATTAAGTTGTTGTAATCTTTTGTTTCCATAATTACAGTTTTTCCACCTTTATCAGCCTTTACAATGATAATTTGTGGGTTATTTCTTAATTCTTTTAGGGCTGATATTTGGCGTTTCGTGATGTTTTGTTTAATTTTATGGATTTTCAGTAAATACCCTTGAATTCTACATGAAATTTCTTGAGAGAAATCATATAGGTTTTGGTTGTCTTTGGGTATTTTAGGGAACCACATTCTGTTTTTTTTTTGCTTTGAAATACATTCGTGGTCGGAGAGGTAAACCAAAGGTGGTGCATGCCAACAGGCTTTGGAGTTATCATGGTCCAGGTCATTTCAGTTGGAACAAAGTGAACAACGGAACAAATGGTGCTGCTGATGACGTGTCACCTGAAAAAGCCACTGTCGAAGAAGAAACTCTACCCGGTTTTGTGAAAGGAAACAGTGAAGCCCTTAATGAAGTTACTGCCACTGATGTGACTGTTACTGATAATAGGACATTTCCTGATGGAGCAGATGAACCCCATGTGAAGCAGAAGTCAATGAGACGGAGACCAGTACGGAAGAAGATACGTCCCGTAAAATTAAGAGACTTTGTTGAATTGTAATTTTGTGTTTGTAAATAATGTGCATTTCATGAAGTTATTGTTTATTATCTATTGGTTTAATGTAAGTGGCTATTGTTTGGAATGA